TAATTGGTGCCTCCAAAAGTTTTTCGACCACTGCATGTATGTAAATATTACATAATGATTTTTTATTCTTTATTTGCTAACTAACTTTATAAAATTTTGGTTTGGTTTATCAATACAATAAACAGAAAGACCAGTAATATATTAAAATACATAATTTCTTTTTTTTTCTAAGTAAGGAGATATAATGGGTGAATTTCATTGTAGAAATCGGGGAATTCTCCAAAATTAGTTGGCTACCTTGCTTTATACATACATACATACATATCTACTTACTACATACCGCTCATTTCCTGCAAGAGTGTCATAGTTCAAAAAATTAAAAACTCGAGAAAAACGGCTTTAAAGTTTACAGTTAACATAAACTCCCACACACACACACTTTCTTCTAATGTACAAAATTGCTAATCGATACTGGAATGAAATAACATAGAAGAAGAATTGAACTCATGGAGGACGCATGTTTCACTAAAAAAAATTTTTGATTATGACACTCTTGCAGCAAATGGGCGATATTACAAAAATCGTTTCTATTTTTCACCTTTTGATAACTTTTTAAGTATTCTATTTATTTCAGAATACCCTCCGCCAACCATCCGCAATGTCAACCAAACTATTTTCATCACAGTCCATGCCATCAGCCTCCGCTAATTCAACTTCAAGAAATACGATGATTCGTGAGAAGACAGACAGCTACAAAAGTTACTACGAAACGAATTTATAGATGTCTATTGCCAATAATGCGAAAACTACATAAGTACATATTTTTACGTATAATTTTTTAAATAAAACTTTATTGTGAATACATGTGTTAACGTTCAACATGCATATGTATTGCTTTATTTTAGCTGAAGAAAGTAACTTAAAGACAAAAATTATTTTTGTTGAAATTAAGTGCCTTTTAGTAATTAATGCTAAACTAAGCGCATACTTTTGTTAGAAATGTCAAGCGCAAACGTTACATAGTTAAATTAAGCATTAATGAACACATACAAGTTTATAACCTATCTCTTTTGTTGGTTTTGCAAGTCTTTATTGTGCGCTAGCGGTTGTAATCAAAAGTTTTCATTAAAAATAATTTAACTTTACAGCTTCACCAACAGCAATATATGTATGTATAAACATATACGAATCCAGTAAAATCGCGTATATCACAAATGTACGGGTTTAATTGACGGATATTCACTCTTGTTTTAGCATACAAAAACAACTACACGAATCCATACATACATACATATTTATGTACTTTTCCATGAGTGTAGAAGGCTTTAAGCTTGACCCAACAAAGACTTTTTGGTATTAAAATCTCAATATGTACTTAACGCCGATTTTACATTTCCTTAAGAATGTGTGCATGCATACATATGCACAAATGTAGGTATGTATGTACCAATAATATTTATTTTTTTAAATTTATTTACTTTTGTATGCATGTATGTATTTATGTGCATGTATACATATATGTAACTTTTGTATCGTAAAGTATTAAAACGTGATAGTTACAAACTTATATAGACATTAAGTAATTTGTCTTTAGAAAAATGTTAATTATATGTATTTACGAAAACATGTTTATGTAAAAATAAATATTTAAGAATTTTCAATAAAAATTTTTTATAAAATCAATGCATAACTATTATATGCAAAAAAATATTGAGTAAACGGAGGAAGATTTTAGAGCTTAACCATGGTTGTACAACACACTGGCAATTTTATGAATTTATGGAAATTTCTTAAACTTCACAAATTATAGATATCACGTCCTATCGCTGGGAAATGCCGGCTCGTCTGTAGCACCTGTATCCGGCTTTTCGATGTAACTAACGTCGAGGACACAAAATTTGGCACGACACATAGGACATGTACATTTCTGTTCAAGCCACACCTCCCGATCATGTTCATTCTGGCGCGCAGCAAACCAACGCGCTAAACACTCAACACACCACATGGGTCGGCAATAACAATTTGAACAGGTGTTCTCTGTAGCCAGAGGTCGTCCGTACCGATCAACATCTTCACATTGTTTATGTATTTTGATATTCGGCTCAGCGATCATACAAGCGAAGCATTTTTCTGCTATGCGATCTGCTTGGTAAATTGGGTTCTGTGCTACTTGCTCTTTGAAAACATCAATAAAGCGGTCGATTACATTACGATGGAATTGTATATATGATGGTATTACAATAGGCCTGGAAACGCGCTCTTCCAAGTTGCGAAATTCCAATGCATTGATACGTATATGAAAGTCAGCAACTCCTTGACGATTTGGCTTCACTACTATGCTTACCATTTGCAGCGTATCGTTAGTATCCTGAGAAACGTTGTAGGTCTCGGTCTAAAATGAAGTATGCAGAGTGTATTTTGATAGTTGACTCAACAAGTATGTATTATAAAAATTATTAATTATAGTAGTAGCGTTGAAAACTTGTGCAGAGTTTTCATACATACTATTCTGATTTGAATGCAATCGAATAGGAGAATGACAATGGAAATGGTATTTGTGTTAATTTAATAGCTAATAAGATTTGAAAAGAAACAATGCCGATTCAAAATTTCTGCTTTCTTTCCATGGGCAACGATTCCTTGAGGGAATATCATTCGAGCACCTTTAAATATTTTATGATATACATACATTGATACTAATAAATGTGAGTTTTATGAGCCCATGGGTAAAGCAGCCACTTATCTTACTTATTTAGAAATCAAAAAAGGTGCTCACCTTGGCTACACTGAGGGAAGTATCGCTTTGGTGTGCAAAATGCACGTTGTACAGCGTAGTTTTGATAATCCAGTTCTCGGTAGCAATCACAGTCGATATCGAATTCAGCTTCTTTTTGTAAATGTCGAGGCTGTTGACGAAAACTGATTATTAAATACGTATTTACATATTTACAGCCAGAACCTTCTTTATTAAAAAAAAAAAAAACATGTAATACTTGCCGTCGGAACTCTGTGCTAATGTCGTTCGCAACTGATTGGAAACTGTTTGGCNATACGTATTTACATATTTACAGCCAGAACCTTCTTTATTAAAAAAAAAAACGTAATACTTGCCGTCGGAACTCTGTGCTAATGTCGTTCGCAACTGATTGGAAACTGTTTGGTACATTGGAATACTTCAATAGGGTCTGACTAATGGGATGACGGCGCCAATTTTGTTGATACCAATTAAACACTAAAGCTGGCACTGCCAGCACGGCCATCAAACTGAAGCGTTGTGCTATCTTCCAAGTGAGCGTCTTAAATGCTACCGCTTCTTGAGGCATAGGGAAATCTGGATCTAAATCCGCTTCCTCTGGTGGTTCACGTTCCGCAAATACGGAGAACTTTAACTTGTGTATAAGGAAATAAAATGCCGGTAGACAGCTGTGCACAAATAAATTTAGTGATGTTCGTCGATGATGATAAAGTATGAAATTCATGCTCTCATCGCCTAACAATTTATTGAAGACTTGTTCGATGGTAAGTCCAAGGCGCTGAAACTCTTCGGGTGGGTAGATAATGCACATGCATAATAAAAGGTAGAACAAATTGAAGAGCAGTTCACACTCGTCCATTTGGTGAAAAATTTTGAGAAATTTGAATGAAGCGATATCAAATGTATTTTAATTCCAAAGATGATACCGTTTTTACCAATTTTATTTTAGTTATCGCTTTCTGTATATTTCTATTCTTTTAGCAAGATGCGTCAGTGCTGTCGCTCTTCTTACTTTTCTTTTATCTTTCTTCATAACAAATGGACGTTCTCTGCAAATGGTTGCATTTTCACGACAAGGAGGCAGTGATCGGACATCCAATTTGGTGTGGTAGAATCTGGAAAAAATGTAGTAGATTCTAAACAAATGTAGTCGATCTCAGGTTTAAGCTTAGTATCCAGCTCTTGAAGGCTCCGTTATGCATACTTGGCATGGCTTGAGAGCTGTCACATAAGAAATCTGTTAAATGAGCCTCGCGTGTAATCGGTTATCGAACGCACAGCACTACATACGTAGAAGTCTGTTGGTTTTTGATTTCTACGTAAAAATGGTATAGCAGTGCATGCAATGCCAAGTATGCATAACAGAGCCTTAAGAAAACGGTCAAGAAAAAATTGCCATAATTCGCGTGTGTGTCCAAGGAATTTTGACATTTTTGATAACGCACAGCCTGTTGCCTCACTCTTTCCTCAAGAAAGTAGTAGAAAGCGTACTAAATTTCTGAAGAACTATGTACTGCCTTAAGGAAATTTGACTCAAGAAAATTTCTTAGCTATTTCTTGTACGTCATTTTATATGGAGTTTTTGCTTTTCTTAAGAGCTGGATGCTAAGCTTTTGGATCAAACTTTCTACAAAAATTAAAAAAAATCTACAGGTTTCACCTCAATTGCAAACTTTTTAATTAGAATCTAAAAAAAAAAATATTTTAGTATAATAAAGTGCAAAACTGAAGTTGCTAAAAATTGCGTTTAGTTTTGGAATTTTTTTTTTCTTTTTTTCCTTCCATATCAAGATATTTTTTGAACTTATTTTGAAAGATTTCTGCAACCTTACGGTCTTATTGTGAATAATTCGCATAACTTCGCACAACATCGCATAAACTTCAAACTGTAATTTCGTATGTACTTTGTATGCATTTTGTATCTATTCCATTACCCAGAAATTAGCAGAACTTCTAAAAACTTAGCGATCTGTTGAGTTTAAATTTTGCTTCAAATTTTCTTAAGTTACATTTTTATTGCACTGACACAAATGGTTGTGCGAAGTTATGCGAAGTATGCATAATCAGACCTTTACGGAGTACTGCCAGCTTTTCTTTTTATCACATCACGATGTAGCGAACAAATGTGGCACGTTCCAGAAACCGCTACTTGGGATTTGCCGATTTGGACAATTCTCAAGTAAAAGTAAACAACGTTTTAGAAGCTTAAGATGCACTGAAATTTGCTACTTTCACAAAAATCGCCGTTTTTTTAATTTTCGCTGTTAATTCTTTTTTATAAACCATATATTTTGCAATTTAACACAATAAAACCACGTTTCCTGTTGAAAAATTGAATATTGAGAAAATTTACTATTTTACGGTTTATTTCATTCTCCCATTCTGCCTGTTGTTAATGTTAAGTGTTGGACAATTTTTGCTCTGAACATTAAAAATATTAGTTGTATTTTTTTACAAATTATCCAGTAACTTGCCAGCAACTCTCCAGTACCTTTATTTCTAAGAATTCGATCTCATAGAAAAAACTTGCAATAAAGTACGCGAACGCTTTTCCAGTAACAATTTGCAAGTTTCATGAACAGCTGATAAATTGGTTGTTTATTCGCAGCAAATTCCTAATAAAACAATATATTTTGTATTTAAATAGGTTTATTTTGTGAAATTCAACAATAAAAACCCACAAACAGTTTCCTTATTAGTTTAAATTTCATCCAGCAACATGCGATCAGCTGTTTTTCGTACTGGCAAATTCTTACAAGTAAAAATTTATCCAGTAAAAACTTGCAACTTCAACTGTCATTTTTCGCTCTCTCAATTTCCCCTACTTTGCAAGTTTTTGCGTACGAAAACGCCAGAACATGAAAATTCGTAAAAACTTTTACTGGATTTTACTGGAAATGAGTAAAAAAACGCAACTAATGTTAAGTGTTGGACAATTTTTGCTCTGAACATTAAAAATATTAGTTGTGTTTTTTTACAAATTATCCAGTAACTTGCCAGCAACTCTCCAGTACCTTTATTTCTAAGAATTCGCTCTCATAGAAAAAATTTGCAATAAAGTACGCGAACGCTTTTCCAGTAACAATTTGCAAGTTTCATGAACAGCTGATAAATTGGTTGTTTATTCGCAGCAAATTCCTAATAAAACAATATATTTTGTATTTAAATAGGTTTATTTTGTGAAATTCAACAATAAAAACCCACAAACAGTTTCCTTATTAGTTTAAATTTCATCCAGCAACATGCGATCAGCTGTTTTTCGTACTGGCAAATTCTTACAAGTAAAAATTTATCCAGTAAAATCCAGTAAAAACTTGCAACTTCAACTGTCATTTTTCGCTCTCTCAATTTCCCCTACTTTGCAAGTTTTTGCGTACGAAAACGCCAAAACATGAAAATTCGTAAAAACTTTTACTGGATTTTACTGGAAATGAGTAAAAAAAACGCAACTATTATCTCGAGCAAAAAGAAAACTACTCAAAAACGAGAATATGTGATAGATTTCAGACCGTGTGTGGTAGATGCTCAAACAAGTGGCAGATCAGCCACAATGTGGTAAAGTCCGATCACCTGCACCTTGGTCACATCTTGCAACTTTTCCAAAATGTGACAGAAAGGTCTTTCTGGTTGTTCACACATCGAAATAAAATTTATCTTTCTCAACTCGACAGCGAATTGCATGCAAAAGTTGGAAATATTGCCACGTCTGACACGCTCTTTTCACCTTGCAATTTTTATTTCCGAAAGTGATTTCTGCAAATCTGCAAAAGGACTCACTAGCTGTTTATGCGGAGAAAATGCGCCACGCTTAACCACACTTTTACTATTTTGAAAAATCTAATTATATTCTCTTTGATAACAAATACTTTAATTTTTTGAGGAGATTAATTACTATATATTTTTTTTTACCAGAAGAAACATTAACAAACCAATTGGCATACATATAACGTTTTGCAGCTTAACCAATGATATGATAAGCCCCTTCCGAAAAATTGTATAAAAAATAAAATATAATTTTATTTTTATTTTTGTTAACACTAATATAACCTATAGCATTTATTTATGTTTATTACGGGAATTTTTACATAATATGGTTGATAAAAATAGTTCAACTCAATCTCACATTTGAATGATATACACTACTGCCTTTTTAACTAGAACAATTTTGTTTTTATTCTTAATGTGTTTAAATAGTAATGGTAGAAAATACTTTGTATTTTTTAAACATGAAAAAACAAGGGATGAAACGCATTACAAGGATCATCTTTGTTTAAAAATACTTGGTATATTTTACAATTTACATTTCTTATATCATTCAGAAGCTGTTTAGACTTCCGTTGTCAGTTAAATTTTAAAAACTCTCACATTATATACAATCCACTGTGATTTGCCGTGCTTGATCCCTTTTAAATATCTAATGTTATATGTTTTATATCATTAGGGAAACCCTTGTAAACTTTAACATATGTTAAATTATGCAAATCATTTGGAATACATACATGCTTATACTAGCTTTTATCTTATTTTTAACATGCGTGCCGCAGCATACGAAACATCTTATTTCCATTGAGCTGTGGGGTCGGTTGTAGAAGTCGAACTCGAATCATTCAAACTGAATTCAAAGCTATTGTCCCCACTGGTGCATGTTACAGTAGTCAAGCTCGAGTCATTGCCTGGACTCTGTCGTCCAAAAACACTTAGACATGGCAAACTTTGATCACCTGAGTTTCCATCTAATTCTGCATCAACATTACCAACATCTGACATGTTTATACCGTTATATTCATTTTGGCCATCATCGTCAAAGCTATCATTGCTTAGACTACTGCAGTGACTATCGTCGCTTAGAGCATTTGGCGAAGGTGTTGTAATTTGCCGTGAGCAATTGATTTGAACTAAAGTTATTTCCCACACCATTCAAAGCTACACTACTGTTGGTGCTCAAATTGAGTTCAGTGATAAGGGGCAGACTACCGCCAGAACCAATTTCTGACGACAACGTCGCCGCAGCATTCGATGTCGAAGCGACGATTGGCGCGTCTTTAAGTTCACCTGATGCGCTGGCGATGTTGGAATCCAGAAGCGTAAGCATGGGGATCCTGTTCAGCTCCTCCGATTTAGCAGTTGAGTGATTACTACTATTAAACTCAAGCAAGTCGCTTAATTCTGGTATATTATGTGCCGACATAGTATTACTAACAGACAAATGGCAATTTTGTTGCAAATTTGGTACATCACCTTTTTCGTGGCCGTGATTCTTTTTGGTACCATCAACAGGCTCCGCTGTGTCAGCTTCGTTGTTAATTTGTGGTTGTTGATTTTGTAGTTGCAACTGTTGTTGTTGGCGGTTTTGTAAGTTTTGTTTACGTGCGATTCGTTGCGCTCGTGGTGGTGGTTTTGGAGCCGTACCATTCATATCCTTACTAAAGAACGGAACTTTCGTATAATAATCTCGATTGTGATCTGGAACACTATCTACACGATGAGCATTATCATTGAGTGTTTCTGTGTCTGGGTAGCCGATGGAGTCATTAACAAAGTCCGCCACACTACCTAAACACTCCGTAGGTATGGATATGTCTACTTTAGCTCCAGGTCCTTCTAATGGGCGCTCGGGCAGCGGTTCTGTTAGATGAAAAAAGTTAGAATAAAAACCAAACATACATACTTATGTACATAAATATATGCTTTGTTCCATATACATATATATCGATGGTCCTCTGCAGTAACGCCACAAATCAAAATTCAAAAAGTAAAAACTCTTACCACTGTTCTGTGGTACATGTCTCTAATCCATGTCTAATCTTTAGTAAAGAGCTTGTAGGGAATGGTGTTGGAGTGACAGTTCTTGGCAAGATATCAATCTGGATCGTTCCGGTTACGTACATATACTCGAGTGTCGTGGGAACGTTCATATCTCTAATCCTTAATACTTACTTTAGTAAATATCAGGACCAAGGACTGTCACCCCAGCATTATTCCCCATTGTGTGCTGTTGCAACAACAGACTTGAGCCACTTAACAGTAGCAGCGGATTTTATTTTTTGGATCTTGACTTGTGTCGTACTGCAGAGTACCATTGATAGGTAGAGATTTTTTCATTCTCATGCTATTTTACACACATACATACATGTACATATCCACCCCTGATTGCGATTTTATCGTTAGCAACGAATAGTAAAATTTACAGGAGAGGTTTTGTTAATTCTCTTTTTAACAGTGTAAAAATTTATTGGAATTTAAACGGACAACATTATTGAACACCAGCTTTTTAATAGCACTATTAATTAATTTAAGTCAATTAAATATAAGCACTGTAACTTTAACTCTTTGGGTGCATCTACTAGATTGTCCACAAGTTCTCTTCGTGGATGCAGTGTTAAAGGTCATTCAATTATCTACCATGCATCTAAACTATCATATTGACGCTACTATTTGGTATTTTCTGGCGGTTTTTTAAGAATGATAAAAAAAGTAAAATTTAATCCTTGACCAAAATAGGTTCAGTTCCAAAAACTTCATATTAGGGAGATTTTTGGCAAGTTTAGAAATCAGTTCTTATTTTCTTCGACTCGGCGTATGTTTTAAACCTAGTTATTGGAGAATAACATCGCTTAACGAAAACTTTTAATTCAAAATTAAAATCAAAGACTACAACTTTATAAACAGAAGGTTAAAGAGCGAAGCTATGATAAGTAAAAGTGATATAATCAAAATCTTATAAGCTATTTGAAAGGAATAAACGGCAAAATGAAGTAATTTCCCCAAGTGTGAATCCATATGACCGCATAAGCTAGTGTTACGATCGCAATTTCGAATTCAGTGCATTTTTTTATACCAGTGCATACAATAGGAATATAAGCCCCGTTAAATGTCTGGTTTTTCATCTTTCTAATATGCTTTTAAATCTTATAACCCTTGGGCAAAGCATGAGATTAAAAAAAGACCCACTAGACTAACTGCACTGCACTTAGTGATTGCAGAAGCAATTGCGTAATGTAACTGATTTTGAGGCACTCATTTGTAGCAAGCGCCGATGGAACTTTGGTTAAAACTACAGTTCATACTGCTATTCGCAATAAAGTTCTGTACACACAGTGTCGCTTACGATAAAATTATAAGAACACAAAAAATTCATTTCGCTTTTTTCAGTAACGGTAAATATTCAAAGTCCGTGATTTTGTAGGTATTCGCAATAAAAAAAAAAAATTTCGATAATTTGTCGCGGCAAAATCGCAATTAGGGGTCGATATTATGTACATTCACATGCGCATACTAGCCTATATTTTGCTGCATTTGTTCTTAATTCTTAATTGTGATAAGGCTGTCTTACAACAAATTTGTTGCTATAAATTTCTTAACAAACATACATACATATATAAATATGGTTTCATGAACATGCATTTAGATTATAAATGGATTTCCCAACGCGCCGCTTTCGAAAATTGTTTCGTAATTTTGTGGGAAACTTTGGTTTTCGCTTTCTCTTAGTAGAATATGTATAAATGTATGGCTAAATGCCTTAATCGACCGAAAAATCAACTTTTCCTTTTATAAAAGATCTTTAATTCCTATGCATATACATATGTATGTAGTAGGCAATTTAGGAGTAAAGACCTCTCTCGACGTACGAAAACCACACTTTATAAGTCACTTATCATGCCCGTGTTGGTATATGGCGCCGAAGGATGGCCATGTCGATCGATCGAATGGACTCCGCCGCTCCAGCTCTGAAAATATTCAACTCGGAGTCCGCTTGTGGTAGCAGAGGAAGAGGGAGGCTACCAATGCGTTGGAAATACCAAGTGGAGAGGGACTTGACTTCACTTGGCATTTCCAATTGGCGTCATTTGGCCCAGAAGAGGAACGACTGGCGTGCTTTGTTGAACTCGGCCAAAATC